GAATCTGATTAGGTCTCCTGCTGCAATGCTAGGCATTCCATTTTTGCCAAAGGGCCAGCGATTATGATTAACGTCATTTGTCTGAATCATTACTCTCCACCTTGGTTCAGCAAACACTATGAAGATGGCGTGGTAATAAATGACCGCCGGATTCTTCCCTGCTTTGGCCTCTTTTTATCTGCCACCTCTCCACCGTCAGCTCCATCTTTCTGAACCTCTCTGAATCCCCAAAAGGGACGGGGTGTCTATTTGTTTTCCACTAGGTTACCACTCTGTCTATTGTTGTTTGCACTAAAGGGTACAAATTCAATTCATTCTTGTGACATAAAAGCACTGATACAGTAAATTTTTTGCCCAAGAGAAAACAAAAACAAAGTTGCTGAATATCAAATAAGATCTGAAGCACTAGCATATATGTGAAGATGCTCTCTGGGCAGCCTTAGTTATAGAATACCATTTTTTTCCCGTTTGTGTTCTCAGCGAGGACAGCCAGCATGTGAATGTGTATGAAGCTTTCCAGTCAGCATCTGGGGTAAAGTGTGACTGCGTAAACCTCAGGCTGGGGCGGCCAAGCCCATCTTAACGCCACGACGACAGAAGGTTGGAAAGCTAGTTACCACGTGGTAAGACTTCGACTTTTTGTGCAGAACAAAGGCTTGGTAACATCACGTGGATCTGTGGAGAATCAGACTGGGAGGGTTGATCGCAGGATATAGTTAATAAGGGAAGACCAGTACAAACAGAATAAAGGAGTTGAGCGTGGCCACCAGATGCAATTCTCTACGCAGTAAATTCCATACTCTTGGGTCCTAATTGCCAATTCTGGGAAATAAGTGTGTTATTTACAGAAGGCAATCAATCTCAACAGAACCCCCAACCACAGTTTGCACCCGAAGTGACAGGTATCACGTGATACAGCCCTTGGGTGACACGACAGCCTTCTGTAGCACAGAAAGTGGCCCGAGAACTGAAGAGGCGCTGTCCACGTGCCACGCCCTTGTGAGCCCAGCATCGGAGCACGACTCTGCTGCTGTCTGCTTCTGGGCCGCCTTCCATTTTATAATTGAAACTTTCCTGTCACAAATATGTAAACACTCCATGTTTTGGGGAATTTCAATTATGTAAATAGCATTACAGAGTTTGCTCACTAGTAACTTTTCTTTGCCAAGGGGAACATGCTTCCTGGGTAGGCTGCAGAAAGGTGCCAAATGCTGCAAAGCCTAAAGAGGATTGCCGGCGCCTTCTCATTCTGGGCCCGAGTCTTAGCAAACACTTAATATGAAATGAATCTGAAATCCTGTAATTGCTCACAATTCCTGGAACGTTACCTTGTGTACCACTCTGGTTATTACGAAAACGTTCTATATTCCTGCCAGAAGTTGAGAAGTTATCATTGAAAATCACTGGCTAATCTAGCCTGTGCTAAGATGGATTTTTAATGAAAGTTTAATGAATGATAAATACTCGTTTCTTGATAAATGTTTAATTATGCCAATAATTACCAACTGCTGAAAACTACTGTTGTGTTAATAATGGCATTTTAGTACACACGCGGCTTTGTGAGTCATGATGCTGTTAGAGAGCAGAGCTCCATCTGTCTGAGGCAAACTAGCAAAACAAAAGTCTAGTTAATATTTTGATCAATTTTCTCTACACTCTAGACTGTCAATGTCCTTTTCTTTAAAAAATTTTGATTTATTTGAAAAATAGCAAATAGAAAAATCTGAAAGAGGGAAGGAAAGAGAAAATGTGCAGAACCACTGTCAGATTAATTTATGCAAAAATTAAAGAATACAAAATAAATATTATTGAAATCATTGATTTTACTGCCTCACTGCATTATCAACTATAAAAATTGTTTTCCGAGTACTTAAAGCTATTTTTTAAAATGATGACCGGTACCCTATTTAATAGCACAGAAAGTCTGAACTTCCTTTATTAGTCGCTTCAATTTGGCCCTTAACAGGTGATAGATGAGACCTGCGATCTGTGTTGTCGTAACATGTGCACGGGGCCTTGCAGGTGCGTGAACTGCCATTTGTAAGAGGGAATGACAGCTTTCAGGTCAGCAAACCCTGGTTCTAGAAGGTTAAACTGACCTTGACTTAATGAGTGCTTATTAATGATGGCAAACTGCTAAAGAGAAGGCAAGTCACTGTGGCGGAGTGGGAGGGTGCGCCCTGCCCCTCTTGCAGTCCTGCGGGGGTCTGCGGGGTTGCTGAGCTCTCCTGCCCGGGGAGGGGGGTGGGGGTGATGCACAGGGGCAGCAGAGCAGGGCTGGGGCCAAGCAGGCAGCCCCCACTCTCCCTCCCCAACTCCTATACAAGGAAGCTTCTGAAAGTCACGCCGCCTCCAGAGCGGAGGCCACGCGCAGGTGAGCTTTGGGCTGAGCAGGCTCTGGCCCCCTCCGCTGTATGTACAGGCCACGGAGCCCTCCCCGGCCGCGAGAATACCTAAACAGCGTGCTGGCTGAGTCAAATACATTTCTAAAGCGTTTCCTTCCACTTTCTCATCAGGCTACAGAATTAGAGAAATCTGCCACATATTCTAAATGCCAGGCTAACAATTCATATTTCCAGTAGCTCACATTTTGAAAGCAATCCAAATTATGCAGATAATTCCCAATTATATTTTAGACAGGGTCTGTGAAAGCCTTAATTTAATCCACGACGTGCTGTGTGGAGATGTAGTCTCAATCCTTTAGATGATCATATATAATGCTAACGGATAGTACCTTCCCACGTGCGGAAGTGAAATCTAACCTACAGACCTGATTGTAGCTATTACATCCAACCAAGTTCATGAGTAAGTTTTCAATCTCCAACCTGAAAAGTCACAGTTCAGGTTTACTAATGAACTTGGCATAATCATGTTCAGACCACTTTCCCTCCAAGTCTACGACCAAGCCCCAAAAGATCACGTGATTTTCAGAATTAACTTTTCTCCCAGAACTACTTGGGTTTTTTTTAATAACCCTTAATCTGAAGTGTCCATTTTTAGGGATGTTGTCAATATTTTATTGTTGCCATTTATTTACACTTAACACTATGGTTCTTACGTCTACTTTTTATTTGTTCTTTATTCACTCATTTCTCTCACATGTACCGTCTTTTTAAATCTTACCCTCATGACGGACATCACACATGTGACCTGTTTCTTGAACAGCCTTTTCGGTAAGAGTTCATCTGTAGTTTTTGTCCTTTGTTACGTCCTCTGAGTTCGAGGCTGGATGTCACCACCGCACCGCAGCTCCCCGGCCGCGGGGTGCGGTCCCCCCACGCGGACCCCGCGGGCTGTGGGGCGGAAGGCCGCCGGCAGTGCGAAGGGCCGGGCGCTCCGCCGGGCACGCGCTCCCGGGCTCCGGCAGCCCCTCGGAGGGCGGGACCGGGGACGGCGGCCCGTGCGACGCTCGGACGGCACGCGGTGCTGGAGACGGAAGGCGGACCCGGAACCGTCGTCTCTGCCAGGCAGCCTCGGGGCGGAAGGACCTCAGCGCGCACGCGGGCACGCGGGGCCAGGCGGGCGCCACTGCTGCTACGGCGGCCCGCGCACGCGCGCCTCCACCGGGTCGGAGCCCCCGCCGTGCGGCTGCGCCGGGGGCGGGCTGGGGGCGGCGCTGGCGGGGTGCTGTGGGGGGCGCTGGGGGGCCGCGCTGGGGGCGGCGCTGTGGGGGGCGCTGGGGGGCCGCGCTGGGGTCCGGGCTGGGGGCGGCGCTGGCGGGGCGCTGTTGGGGGCGCTGGGGGGCCGCGCTGGGGGCGGCGGGGAAGGGCAGCGCGCGGGCGGCCGCGGCGCCGGTCTGGGCGCGCCTCTCCGGCTACTCCGGCGGAACCAGCGGCCGGCTCGGCGAGGACGGCGAGGCCAGGGCGGCCGCGGCGCACACCCGACCCCGACCCTGACCCCCGAGTGCAGGTTCTCCGAGGTACCTTCTGAGTCTCCATCGGCTCCTGGATGAATCTCGGCCCCTTGGGGCAGGGACAGCTCGGCCTCTGGTCTCCGTCTCTGCAGAGTCATGGATCCTGTGCAGCTTATACTTCAGAGTTTCTGAAAGTGGGCTTTCCAGGCCCAATGGGGTCAGTCATTTAGGGGCACTTGTTAAAGATGCGTATCTGGGGCCTGTTTTGGCCGAAATCCTAGTCCCCAGTACCTCCGAACATGACTGCCTTTGGAGCCAGGGCCTGCGAAGAGGTTATTAAGGTAAAATGAGGTTGTCGGGAAGGCGGGCCAACCCACGGTGCCTCCTGCCGTTATGAGAAGGGGTGGTGAGGACACCGACCCCCCCCAGGGAAGGCCACGTGAGGACACAGATCTGCGTGCCACGGAGAGGAGCCTCCAGATGGGTGCAGGTTTCCGGTTAAGGTTCCACGGGGCAGGGGTGTGAACGGCGCTCCGAGGCGAGCCACACAGTGGCCACTCTTCCTCCGACCCCTCAGCAGGGGACACAGCTACTCGTCTCCTCCACGGGGTTCCTGACTGCTTTCCTCCCGACCACGGGTCGCCCCGTGACCTCCAGGGCTGTCTCCCTGGCCGCGCCGGCCTCCAACCTCACGGCCCCCGAGTTCCACCCGGGGCCGCGTCTTGTCCCTCACACCCCGCCCCGAGGTGACCGCTCCTGCAGCTGATGTCCGCTGCAAACCAGGGAAGTCCACTGGGGTCGCCCCAGCTGGTCACCCTTAACCCACGGTGCGCGTCCGCGGCCAGCGCCGCCGAGCCGTCTCCACGATCACCGCCTCTGTGCAGGTCCCCACTTCCGGTCCCGGTCCCTCCGTCCTCCCTCCGCAAGGGAAAAAGGATGACTCCTTAAACTGGAGCTGGATGGGGTTCCCCTGATAAAAGTCCTCAGCTCTTCCGCGGCAGAGCTGGGCTCCTCGCCGGCCACGCGCCTTGCCCCGTGTCACACGTGGCCACGGCCGCCGCCCTCGGAAGGCCTGGGAGGTGTTCAGGCTCTTGCCTCCTCGAACAGCTCACTGTTTCTCCCCTGAGAGACGTCTTCCCCGAGGAAGGTCCACGCAGCCCCCATTCCCGGCCAAGTGTCTGCTACGCTCCACCATGGGCCCCCGCTTGCTTCTCCCACTCAGGGCGCCCGTCACACCTCCAGTCATTTTCCGCTTCTTCAGATCTGGAACTCGTGCTCCGGGAGGGCGGGGGCGGCACTGTCGGCTGACGGGGCCGCGCACACAGCACGGTGCCTGTGCCCGGGAGATGCTCGACAGACATCTGTGACTAATGACTGAAGCGACGGGAGCACTGGACGCAGTCACCCACTGAGGCAGAGAACTCTGCTACCGCTGAACACGACCCGCATTCAGCATCCCTGCCGGAGGCGTACGTGTGGCCACGCACGGGAGCTCAGCAGACGCTGCGGTTTCGTGGAAGGCACAGCGGCTGGATCACCACCACCACCTCTTGAACTATGTTCTGAATCAGTCTGCCAGAGCTGCTTATCTCGGAAATCTCTTACATCGATGAGTTATTGAATCAAGCCAGGCCAGTCTAGGAGAGCTGCAAATCCGCTCAGGTGATGCCTTTGTTTCAGGCAGCAAATTTCACTGGAATTATGATCACAATTAATAACCGTCTCTCCTGAGAGGGCACGAGGAATGGAATCTGCCTTCACCAATGTAAGACTTCCATTGGTTCTTCATCAGAGGGGTGGGCTACGTGTAGATAATCAGAAATACAAAAACTTGGACTACCAGCGGTGACTTGGGAGATTTAGTTATAAAGCGGGAATTCTGTGGGATTATGGCCCTTGACACGGACTTTCATATTCTTATAAAATTTTTTTTAATGTTTATTAATTTTTGAGAGAGAGAGAGAGACAGAGACAGAGTATGAGTGAGCAAGGGGCAGAGAGAGAGGGAGACACAGAATCTGAAGCAGGCTCCAGGCTCTGAGCTGTCAGCACAGAGCCCGAAGTGGGGCTCAAACTCACAGACGGTGAGATCATGACCTGAGTCGAAGTCGGACGCTTAAATGACTGAGCCACCCAGGCACCCCCCAACTTCCATATTCTAACCTCCTTTGTGTGAGAGCACTAACAACGCTTTTCATCCAATATTAAGGGATATGCTGAATGTGAAGATTTAGCAAGATTAAAGGGACTTCGGCAAAAAAAAAAAAATTAGACATCTGTCATGTAATACAACATATGAAAATGTGCCTTCCTTGTCTCTTTCCTTAACAGAATGTTGTCGCCTCTCCGGTTTGGGCAAGACAGAGCTTCTCATCTTCCCCTCACGGCTCATCTGGTTTTGCCCGAGCTGCTTGCGCGACCACGCTCTGAAGAGAGAGACATGTTATCCATGGTGGATGTTAATGCACTTAACACTAGGTTATTTACAACAAGCTGGAAACCTTACACACCCTACCCGCCATACAGGATAATCACTCTGCACTGAACAACACAATTAAAACAGGAAGTATTTGAAGAACATCCAATTTTCGTGAAGACCTCATTTAGGAGGCCAAAGGGGAACAGGTAGACTTGGCAGCATAATGACTAATTATTTTGTTCAAAAGCTGGAAAAGTTGCTGAAGGAATATTGGGGCCTCTGACCGCTGCTGGGCTTCGAGGGCCACAAGCAGTATTCGATGTTAGGAGAAGCCAGTTTTAAAAGCTCCGTGCCCCTCTCTGCCCCACACACACCCCAGAGAAAATCTTCAAGGAACTGTTTTACAAAACCGGAACAAAAACCCTTTCCCCCAAATGCCTCTGGGGGAGGAGTGGTGGGGAGAGGTTGGGAAGGGAGAGGGAAGACGTGGTCAAGAGTGCAAAGTGAAATGTTCTATACATTGTGCAGATCTGCTCCTTAAAAGTCGACATGGAGCATACCATGTGAACTGCCACATTTATAACCCTGTGCTGATATTCAAATTTTCTGTCTTAAGCTAAAGAAAGATTGAATACCCTGCTGTTGTGTGGCCAAGATTGAAGAGGTGTCTCACTGACATTGTTCAAAGTTTATGAAAATATATGAATGCTCAAATGTCATTGGCTTTGCGCCTCCACCAGACTGTGGTTTTATGAGAAATCAGTCTTTTAATCAAAATGATTGAATACCTTAAGGTCGAATCCAAAGATATCAGTTAATATCTAGAAACGTGCTATTTCTGCAAATTTTGCCAAGCTGTACATATTGTGGTGCATTTTAAAGTGTTAATTTGTGCGTTCCATATTGAAAATTGATCTTGAGTTTTAGCTTTTTGTCAAGCAAAAACATATGGTTACAAGCTCTATGCATTTTACGTGACGGCTGTTGAAGCTGTCACATGTGCAAACTTGATAACCGATGTGACACATACGCAAATAATTTGCTTGTTTAGTAACAATTCAAAGATTCATTATTCATGCAAACACACATTTTTTAAAATGATCAGATGGAAATAGTCTCCATTTTGTACAACCTAGTCTGGTTGGTGTGCAAACCCAGATAAAATAAAGCTGGGAACTAAATGGTATTAAACAAATCCAAGAATATGGGTATTTTCAGATAATTATTGAACCAGATGGTGTTTTTTGTTAATTCTGCCATCAGTCTGAGAACTTGATGTCTTACATCTGCACTTGGTAAAATAAATTTTACCACTGACATTATTTCAGTTTTCTTAAAATATTTCAATCAGTTTTAAACCAAGATTTGCAAACATCTGCCACAGTACATGCCTATGAGATGAAATTATTTTGAGATAATTCCTTTAAAAATAGACACCATTTACATGGGATTTTAAATTTATCACCCTTTAAACGAAATCTTCAGAATTACTAGCCTGAATGTTTAATAACAAGGAAAATGAGAATAAGATGGCACGTTTGAGAATGAACGCGGTTGCCATGTCATGGGAAGGGCTGGCTCATCTGGAGAGAGCATCTTGGAATTCCACACTGCGTTATTTCACAGCCCCGACTCAACACAGGAACGTTAAGTACATTTCTTTCTGTGTCCTTTACGTACATTTTCTGTGCAGTACGGTTAAGTGATAGAAATATAGGATGGATTAATCAAAAGACACAGAGGATACAGGGATTTTATCTGCAGGTAAGTCAATCAGCCTAATTGACTTCTCTCTCATCACGACTGGTCCCGGGCTCTGCCCTGCCTACACCCGCGTGGAGCCCCAAATACACACCTAAAACCAGAGGGCCAGGGTTAGGTTCTTTTCAGACATGCAAGTAGGAGCTCTTGAAGATGCATTTTAAACATAAACACCCTCCAAATGGCTTAACTTCTTTTTCTTTTTTTTTTAAATGTTTTATTTATTTCTACGAGAGAGAGAGAGACAGCATGAGCAGGGGAGGGTCAGAGAGAGAGGGAGTCACAGGCTGAAACAGGCTCCAGGCTCTGAGCTGGCAGTCAGCACAGAGCCCGACGCGGGGCTCAAACCCACGAACCGAGAGATCATGACCTGAGCGAAAGTCGGACGCTTAACCGACTAAGCCACCCAGGCGCCCCAATTTACAAATATTTTAATGTGCACAAATGTTGTATTTCTATTTAGTGTACATGTATTTAAAAAGATCTGTAATCTAATAGCTAATCATGTTAAAGAACCTTAGTTGACATAAAAATAATGGTCCTTTACAGTAAAATTCTGGTTTATTCATTTGGTAACTATTCTTCCCAGATAANGGGAGTCACAGGCTGAAACAGGCTCCAGGCTCTGAGCTGGCAGTCAGCACAGAGCCCGACGCGGGGCCCGAACCCACGAACCGCGAGATCATGACCTGAGCGAAAGTCGGACGCCCAACCGACTAAGCCACCCAGGCGCCCCCAAATGGCTTAACTTCTTTAAGGTAACAATTCTAATTACAGCCCACAAGCAAAACCTTATTTTCAAACTTAATCATGAATTCAAACCTTCTGTTACAGAATAGACTGCACTTGGGCAACAGTCTTCTGCTTCCAGGTTAGATGAGGAATTTTGAGGGAAGGTCTGAGATTCCTCCCTATGCTCCCCCTATTTATTTTTTTTCACCCAAATCAGACCTCTGAAACAAAACAATCATTTAGCACAGTACTTTCCGAAGATCTGCTGCAGACCAAAAGCAAGCAACCACAACAAAAAAACTAGTCTATGACACTGATAACTAATTCTGAACTATTCCAACTGTTAGCAGTAGTACATAAAAGGAGCTAACAGAGGTAATCCGGTAAAGAGTTTCCCATTTGAAACTCGGTTCTATTTCACCTGGAGAATGAGACAAATTGCCCTACACCACCAATGCTTGCATTCTAGTAGGTGCCCCGATAGCCAGAGTAGCTGACATTTCACAATGAGGACTCCACAGCCTTGAGCACCTTGCAACCTGCCTCCTCCCAGAAAGTGCAACTAGTAGTGATAGCAACCCAAGCAAGTCGACCTCTGATTGTTCTGGGGGGTGGGAGGTAGGAGGTTCTGGGAGGCGAGAGCAAGTGGTCAACTATCGGCAGCTCAAATCAGAGGCGGCGCCAATAAGCCGAACCCCAAGAATTCAGCTGCTTTACTTGGCTGCTTTATTCCCTCAATTACTCTGACGAGGGGTTATTAAAATTTGCTACTATGAATTATCAATTCTACTTATATATGATACATTATTAATTATATAATATTAATTATAATTAAAAATATAATTCATATCAGTTGATCATAATAATTAATATCTATTAATTATAGTAATTAATGATAGCAAAATAATAGCTAATAAGTCAAAGCTTATTATATGATGTATGCTAAGTGGTAACTTTTATAGCACCATTTTACTCATAAACTCTTAGGCAGCACATTCTCGTGTTACCCCTATCTGACAGAGGGGTAAACTCAAGTCTAGAGGAGAGGCTATTGCCCAAGGCCGCCTAGCTACTGAATGACATTTGCAGAATTTAAACCCTGGTCTGCCTGCCCTGGGAGCACCTTGCCATGCCCTTGACCATGGCTGAATGTTATCCAAAGTTACTGAAGGAGGTTTACATAGCCTTCTTCCAACCCATGACATTCAGGCTGCTTTTTGTAAATAGCACTGGGGAAGTATTTTTCTTTTTCACTCCCCCTCTCTTTCTTACATCAAAGGATGATTGAGGTACTTGTTTCATATCATCAGGTTAATTTCCAAAAAGTCAAAGGCAGTTAAAACTATTAGGCACAGTAGATGCACATTACATCGAACTCTTTTGTGTTTCTCTTCTGTTAGCTAAAAGTATATAATTGCTGCTTTCTTTTAAAAATCAAGTCTGCGTTAGTTTACTTCTCAGGATGAGGAACACCTCTCCAGATATCTGTGTAGAAGTTGTATTTTCTGTTTTATGATAGATCTTTTTAAAACTTATTTATTGGTTGCAGTGCATTTTCCTGTTGGTTTGCATGAGCTCTTTACATAAAAAGATATATAATATTAATGTGTTATTTGATGAACGATTATCTTCTTTTTAAAAAATTTTTTAATGTTTTATTTATTTCTGAGAGAGAGAGAGAGAGAGAGAGAGAGAGACAGCGAGACAGCATGAGCAGGGGAGGGTCAGAGAGAGAGGGAGGCACAGAATCTGAAACAGGCTCCAAGCTCTGATCTGTCAGCACAGAGTCTGACGTGGGGCTTGAACCCACGAACTGTGAGATCATGACCTGAGCCGAAGTTGGACGCTTAACCGACTGAGCTACCCACACGCTCCTGTAAGACTGCATTTCTGACTTCAACCTCAGTCAACTTCTACAGGTTCTAATATGACATTTTATTTTTTATTCCTTTTTAGTCTACTGCTATATTTTTGATTTACTTGTTTTTCCCCTATTAATTACTATTTTAATATTTACAGGTGATTGTTTTTTTTTTTTCCTGTTTAAACTTCTATTTTTTTTTTTATCACACTGCAGTTGGAGTATGAGTTGGTAATTCCTGGTTTTTAAAATTTACTAAAATTTCCTTCAAAGCTGATTGTAAGCTCCATACATTTTCCATAGAGCCTCGATCATAAAGTTGATGCTGTGTTTAATGATGCCACGTTATATATTTGTTAATCTCATCTTACTAATTATATTGTTCAAATGCTCCACTTGATTTTTCTAATTCCCGATTTACCACGGACTGCTACAGGCCAAATGCTCCCCCTGAACTGTCTTTACACCATTCTCTTTGAATCCAATTACACTTTGCTTAGTGGACCTTTTGCTAGATTATTCGTATTGCTGTATCTTCATCTGTTTATTTAATCATCTACACTGTTAGACACACATGATGTGCCAGATACTTTCCTGCGCTGTGGGGACGTGGCAGTGAGTACCCCTGTTCCCCCTGGGCTGTGGGGATGCAGCAGTGAGTACCCCTGTCCCTCCTGGGCTGTGGGGACGTGGCAGTGAGTACCCCTCTCAAACATAGGGGCAGGAAAATAAGGCAAATAAATAAAACAACAAGTATTCTGGATGATTTCAGATATACTCTGAAGACGAACCAAGAGCACTGACTGA